ATTTCCTATTTCCTATTATGTTTTGGAGTGCTTTCAAAGGTTATAAAAATAAGGTTTTCTGCACAACTAGAATAGGAGAGCAAGGCATTGATAGTATAGTTTAGAGACTTTCTTCAGGGTTAGAGAGGAGTTTTCAAAGACAAGATCAAGCAAGAGAATATGAAGATGAAGGTTTCCACATCCATGAAGTCTTCTTCTTTCTCCATGAGCGGCTAAACTCTTTCTGAGGGATTGATGTAACCCTAATCTTTACTCCAATGGTTTAGTTATTTATTTTATTAGGATTATTTATTGTATGATGATTGCATGATTGAGGGCAAAACAATGGTTGTACCTTGATTTTGGGATTTAATGTTTAAATTCAATTATATTTGATATTTTACCTTGTTAGGAAGAAGGATTTATAATTGATCTCAACCTCTCTATTTTTTGTGATTATAGGGTAGGTTTATCATGCGATGATGCTTAATGATTATATTTTTAGGGATTTGATAGGTCATACTAAGGGAAAATAGGTCATACTACACCCTTAGTTTAATGTAGTTAGGTAGACGATCCATGCTAACCGAAGATGGGTTATGCTTAGCCCTAGACATATAAGCTTTTCTTTATAAATTATGTTATGTGCTTGCAGCCATACATCTTCTGATCATACAAATTATCCTAATAATATGTCTAATTGACCATTGGAGGGTAGATTAATGGTGAAGTCAATACCTTAGACTCTTTATATCTTCATCTCTCCAATTACTTAGTTTAAGTTAATTTAAATAATTAGTTAAATTAAAATTTAAAACTTCTCTTTCAAATTAATTTATAAATAATCCTAGTATATTGACAGCATAACTGTCGCAGTCTTTAAGGTTGGACACCATCAATAAAGCCTTATCCTGTAAGAATACGTACTATTGCGAGTGGTTTATCATTGAAAAAAACACACATCAAGTGCTATAAGAATAACACAGTCTTTAGTATACCAACCTCTAATGAAAACGCATCATAAATCTTATCAACCGGACAAATTTCATGAAATAAAGAGGGTGAACTCAATTGAGACCAATTTCTTTCTCTTTTTTCAAATTTGGGTGTGCATAACAATTAAGTAATTTGTCTAGCACATATAATATCTACTCTAATCTCGAAAAAATAGACAATGCTCTGATACTTGTGTGACACACGTGCCCAATGCATAATCATGATTTGTAAAAGAGAAGTGATAGGTCTTCCGACCTCAATTACCGACTCTTTATCCGAATATAAGACGGTTAGAAATGAATAGAAGAAAAAGAGATGTTTACGGAATTTTTTTAAAAATTTTAATATAATTCAATCACGTTGTATTTGAAAAAGGAATTGACAATTAAGATTGAAAAATTTATTATTTCTCTTAGTGAAATAGATATTCGGTGCTGTCGATGCATTATAAACCAAACAAATAACGTTGCCGCGCCATTCAAAACTTGACTTCCGACAAGAGTGCAAAATCAGTGAACTTTTAACCACATAGACAATAAAGACGGAGAAGAGAAGAATCAGAGAAAAGAACATTTCAGAAAGAGACAATACCATGTGAAGCTACAGGAAAGAGAAAATTCTAAATTCAAGTACTACTTAATATAATATTCACTTTACAAACATAATAATAGTATTTGGTATACAATTGGATTTCAAATTCTGAAAAGAGACACAAAAGTTGAAAGCATGGATGCAATTTACGAGAATGAAAAAAGCACTCCACAACCCCTAATCATCATTCACAAAACACACACCCAATAAACTAATCTCACAGCCAGTATTAGCTTTTAGGAAAAGAAAAATATATTAGAGAGTGAATCGCTCCACTTCGTTGTAACTTGCAAACATGATCAATCAAAATTGCTCGGTCGTGCAATTATTTCGGCCTGAGTATCGATGCTCTAACTTTTATATGATGCTCAAAGTCTCCTTCTTCACACTTTAGTACTCACCTATTGAAGAAACAAAACATATAACTAAGCAAGCTTCAACGGTTGTGAAGAGGGTCTGAAGCATTTGGAACTCTTCTTTTGCTTGAAAAAAACAGATCAAATGAGTGCTTCATGTGTTGATCTTCTTGCTTTTGCTGCTTCTCTTGAAATTCTGATGATGGTTTGTTCATGCCATCAACCACTCTGTGCTCACCACAGACAACAAGTGAGAGAAACACCAACACCATTATAATGCATTGTTTGAATTGCATGGTGCTGCCTAGAGAGAGAAAGTGAAGGAGATAGAGAGGGAGAGAGGGTTTCTTCCAAGGAAAAAGATGAAGGAAATGGAAGAATCGAAATCCAGATAATGGGTCCAAGGGGGAGGGAAAGGAAGAGAGAAAGGGCAATTACAAAAAGTGAAATGGCTTTGTTTGGCAATGTGAGAGAGGAGAGAAAAGAAGGGAAATAGTACAGAGTGATTTCAGAAGAGACCCTGCAAACAAGGGACACAGCTCACGATGGGACCTTTTTATTTTTATTTTTTCTTTCTTTTTTTAACTTTTATATAATATTCTTTTGTTGTGTGTTTCACGATAACTTTTCTTCTTATATTGATTTTCATCTCGCTTTCAGTCCCCAAAATTAGGTCACTCAGGTCCCAATTTACGGTAATATGTATGCAGGTTTTGGCTCTTGTTCTTTTTCTTTGTCTGGGTAGTGTTTGTCTGCATTGGAATTAGTCAATTTGCTTTTTGTAGGTACTTCAAGCTAGGGCCAGAGAGATTTCTATATCTACTAGTATTGTTTTACACCTAAAAGAAATAGAGATAAAGATAAAGATATAGAGCATCATTCCACAGTCGTTTCAAGTTATTCCAAGCTAGGGCTTGAATTCTTCTAGGTTGAACAGTGTGTTTAATTTGTTGGATGGTCAATTTATTAGAATATATTCTGTGTGCCCAGTTTACAATGCACCAAGCCACTAGAGCCATTTGTTCCTACAATCTCGGTGTATTGTGCACAGATGGCTATGACTATGTACACTGGGCACACCAAATCTCTTCGCATCAATTCATGTCAGGTCTAAAGATATCTATATCTACCGGTATTGATTTACACCTAAAGAGAGAGAGAGAGAGAGAGACCATCATTCAACAAGCGTTTCAAGTTATTCCAAGCTAGGGCTTGAATCCTTCTAGGTTGAACAGTGTTTTTAACTTGTTGGATGGTCAATTCATGATAATATATTTAGTACGTCTGGTGCATTGTGCACCATGAGCACTTTTAATTGTACACCGAACACAACCTTTGCGTCAATTCATGTCTTTTAACTGTACACCGAACACACCAAATACCTTTGCGTCAATTCATGTCTTTTAATTGTACACCGAACACACCAAATACCTTTGCGTCAATTCATGTCGGTGCATAAATATCTATATCTATTGATACAGCCTAAAAGAAATATATATATATATATAGAGAGAGAGAGAGAGCATCATTCAACAGTTTCAAGTTATGGCTTGAATTCTTCTAGGCTGAAGTGTTTTTAATTTGTTGGGTGGTCAATTCATGCTAATTTATGGTTCCTTCCCAATGAGATGTGGCACCAAGATTCTAGGTTAAAAATGGATGAGCCAATGGTTATATGACTGAGTCATATAGTTAGGTTCAATGACCATTGGTTCTTTACAATGCACAGGAATGGTCAGACTCCAAGAAATTGAGCCAGAAGCACTGTTGAACCAGTACTCCTATGGTTTCGGGCTTGACAGTGACATCATTCAATTTCATCAACTTGAACCTAGTTAAAGCAAACAAACCAATCATATACTAGAAATTATTACATATCTTCATAGTTGTGTAATCAATTTTTTACTATCTTGTAAACATGACTCAATTAAGAAAAAAAGTTTGGGTTTATAGTTATATTTTCTATTTAACAATCTTAATCTCAAACTCAGTTTGAGCTGGTTCACTAGATTGTGATCAAAATTTGATTAAATGAGCTAAGTAAGTTTGAGCTCAACAATAAATGTTCGAGTTGAGCTTAAACACTCTTGTATGGGCTCAACAACCAAACTCGAGACCACTACTGTTCACGCTTCCTTTAGAAGATCAGAAGTAGGGGAAATATCCATCCATAACTGGGATCTAATCTTGTCACATAAGCAGCTATTTGAGACATAAGGAGGCCACTTTCCCGGTAAGGGAATAGATCCTGTAATCCCAGAAGCTCGGAAAACTCTTCCAAATCTTCGAGTAAACAAATGCAAATGCAAGATGGATAAACACATCGAAAAGTAGCCTTACTGACACAACAACAGCATCTCTAGTTTTGGAAAATAGAAACCTGGTACCTCTAGGCCATTGGCCGTTGATATATCATAAATAGAACTTATAAATCAATCCTCAAGATACAACAATAGGATTTCCAGAAAATGGCCAACCATTTATCAGACATATTTTGCTTTTCATAATGCAAAAATAAATAAATAAATCACATGAAGTTCTCTGTATTTTCCTACAAATTCATCTATGATATGAATGCATGCTCAACAGTCATCACATTAGAATTTAGAAGTCAGTTCATTTCACTTAAAAATAAAAGCTCTGTTAGAACATATAAGAAAACAAAAGCCACAATTCAACTCTCTCTGTGGCCCATGTAGCTTTATCATCAGTACTTTCACCAATTGTCTCTCAATTTCATAAACTATTAAATTTTCTTGCTAAAATTTGCATAAACAATGCTTGTGCTCTCTGTCACCTTGCCTCACCTCTTACAATTCAATTTCCTAATTTAAAAAGATTTTTTTTAAAATCTATTTAAACACTTTAAACATAATTTCTACGTACAACAAACTAGTACTATTTCATATGATAATAGATTAACCAATCACTTGGAATAACAAACCACCATCATGTATAATGCTTCAAATTCTTCAAAGGACATAACCCGTCGTATGTCCCACCTACCTGTGCAGGGAGCTGCCGAGCTGGGAGTGGATAATGCTTCAAATTAGTGCAGGAAATAATTTACTTACATGATTTAAGATTCAGAATCAAAGATTTCAAACATACAATCTCAAACAATGCAAACAAAATCCTTAATCCTTAAGTGAACTAAGCTTCAGGATAGTTGTCAGTACGATCCAAGGTTAGAACTTACCACACAAAAATCAAAAACATTTTATCTATGTCACAAAACTGTGCTAGCATTAGATTACACTGGCAGCTTGGGACCGCTAAATCAATTAAAAGATCACCTCCATCAAATATGTCATTCTACAACATCTTCAAAATAGGAATTTGGCATCTCCGAAAGAGAAGACAGCGTTGACACACATTTGAACTGTTTCAGGTAAGAAATTACAATCAGATAACCATTCCCAAAAGATGACTGAAATAAACTCATAACAAATTTTGTAAATTATACCTCATGTTGCTTGTATTTCTCTCTCACAGCCACCAAAGAGCCTCCTCGTCTGCTCAGCTGCAAGTCATGTATTATAAGAACACATTCCTTTAAATCTTCTGGTTTATAACCCGAGTATCGTTGAAGGGCCAAACTCTGTTAGATGTGTAACACTTTGTTCACCACTTTCCACACATGAAAAGTGAAAATTAAAACTAAGAACGAATTTCCAAGAAGGCACCTACCCAGGGATGAAATTTTGGTTGGATTGTGAACCTCGAAAGAAATATAACCGATGCAGCCACCAAGGAAGGTGGGAATTTCAAACAGCCATATTCTAGTAAACTTAGCTCCGCTAGGTAGTACCCTAGAAACTCCAACCGCAAATTAGGAGTCTGCAAAAGTTCCAAGAAAAAATTAATCTGTTAGTGACAAAAAAACCCCACATTCTTTTTCTTATTGTATCGCAAAAACACACATACTTGTTGCAAAGAGAGAGACAAAAGAGAATTAAAGCTTACCCCGTAAACTCCTTGAGCCACACTGTTGAATCTTCTGTTGTTAAAAAACAGAAAGGGAATGTGCAATGAAAATTAGTCTAGTGAAACTCTTCATATATATATAGAGTAAGCTGACACTGACAGTAATCTTATACCTGATAAATATATTAAAGGGAATGTGCAATGTAAATTAGTCTAGTGAAAATGTTCATATATATAGAGAGAGAGAGTAAGCTGACACTGACAGTAATCTTATACCTGATAAATGTATTAAAGGGAATGTGCAATGTAAATTAGTCTAGTGAAACTGTTCATATAGAGAGAGAGTAAGCTGACACTGACAGTAATCTTATACCTGAGAAATGTCTTAATTGTGGGGTTCCCCAATTCAAACTTGAGGGATTTGAGCACATCAGCTTCCATCTTCACCACCTCTTCTTTGGTGTATGTAATATCTCTAATGCAACAGAAATCTTTCACATATGGAGGATTGCTCTCCTCATACTTTCTGCTTATCACAACAACACAACACAAAAACAATAAAGTTTTGAATAAAAATCAAACTAGCGAATGCTTGTTAGTGAACTTGGTACTTAGTTACTTACGATGCTATGAGCATTGAAGAAACACCCAACAACGGAAGCCTTCGCCTATTGAGGACATTCATCGACAAAAATCGGTCGATACAAGAGACAGCTAGATGCAGAGTATCAGAGAGAAGATTGTACTTCTCTGCAAACTCCACCAAGCAATTCACCAGTATTCCCCTCATGTTAGCAGTTACATCATTCTGAACTTTTTCAATGTAATCTGGAGATGGCCTTCTCTTTGTCTCCATCTGAATAATAAATAAATAAATAAACCCAAATTTAATCAAAAGTTAACTAATTTTCAAAATCAAAGTTCAAGCAGAACAATTTACCTCCATGTTGTGAAGATACTCATATGTCTCAGACCCATAACCATCACACATTTGGGGATCAAGAAATCCCGCATCGATGTGATGCTCACTTGTTCTCTTCACATTGTTCTTCGACCGACATTTGGGCTTCTTCATCTCTGAACCCGGATTCGGATTGGCGGCGATATTGGATGAACTGGGTAGCTCACCCAACACCACCCTCTTCTTGGTAGCAGGCTGTTGCTTAGACTCCTCCGCCAATCCCATGGCCTCTGATGCCCTCTTCTTCGTCAAGAGCGTGACCCGCACACAGTTCTCCTTCTCCGCCATTGTCGACTCTCTGTCACTCTGCTTCAGATAACAAAACTATATATACTAGTATTCAGAATTTGGACGAACAGAGAGAGAGGAATGAGGAATGAGTGACTCACCAGAGGGTAGCTTTGTAGTTTGTACTACTACTAGCTACAAAACACAACACTTTCCAAACGGGCCACTGTTTATTCAAAATCTTTGGCGCTTTTGTTATGCATTCAAACGTGTGGTTCCAAAAAACAAAGAATTTTTTATAATTTTAGGCCTCTCGCTTTTCGTGTCACGTGTGTATTATTATTATTTCCACTTATCTTATTATCACCAACTGTAATTAAGTTTTTTTTTCCAGTTATTTAGGACAATTCTAAGTCACATAATCCTTCTTAATAAGTGTTACTTTTATATTCTGAGCGCGCTCTTACTCTCACGCTCCGCGCGCGCTCTCGCTCAAATTCTCATTACTTATGACTTAATTCTGCCACTCTTACACTTCAGTTTTATGTGACTTATGGTGAGTTACGTTAATCATATGTTATTTACCAAAAAAAATACATTAATCATATAATTAATTACATTCCACTCTTTTTAATGTCATAATATCAGTCAATGCACATATTATCAAAAATATAAAAATTTATTAACTCTGCCCACATTAATTTTAGTCTCTCTCACTTTAATATTATTCTTAAAGTAGACTATGTCACTTTTTCTGATTGGCGCATTTAAATGCTTTTTTTACACATGTTCAAACCATATGAATTCCTCTTATTTTATCTTCAATGGATGCTACTCCAACTATGGAAACATGTTGCCCCACTCCCTATTTAGACTATTTTTCATCATTTGCGCTTCATAGTGCAATCAGGAGGTCCAAGTCATTTCCATTGTTGGATTATACAATCGAGTTCAAATTGAACTTAAATTAGAGTTTGTAGTGCCCAATTTTCATTTTGACTTATCAAAATCAATCAATTCCTCTGAAATGCTGAGATTCCGAACAGAGTGTTCCTTCCCAGTCGCAAACCACAACTCTTCTTCGACTTATAAAATGTATTTATATATGTTGTCTGGCGATTAGGTTTGACTGAATGATTTTTCTAAACCTCAATCCATGAACCCAACGAAAGTGTTCGGATTTCTAGTTATTTTTTCTATTTAACTTAATCTCAAACTCAAGTTTGAGTCGGTTTTTGAGATTGGGATCGAAATTTGATTAAATGAGCAGAGCTTAAGCTCGATGAGTCGAGTTGAGCTCAAACACTCTTGTATGGACTCAACAACCAAACCCGATACCACTTTTGTACCTAATTCCTCTGAAGATCAAAAGTAGCAAATACACATAATTGGGATCAAATCCTGTCACATAAGCAGCTATTATAGACAGAAGGAGACCATTTCCCAGTAAGGGAATAGATCATGTAATCACAGAAGCTCAAAAAAACTCTTCCAAATCATAAACTACATAGGAAAATTAATGCCAGCAGAAAAACAAGAAAAGAAAACTGATACTAGATGATTACATCCAGCTATTTGACTTCCAGTGGGCTCCACCATTTCTGAGCTATCTCCCCAAAACTTTCATCCTCATAAGAGTTACTGAGTAAACAAATGCAAAAGCAAAATGCATGGTAGTATACAAATGTAGCATTACTGACACAACAACATCATCTATATCCAATAACAAATAAATACCTATCCAACCTAGACACAGCAAAATCATAAACAAAACTTATAAAATCAATCCTTAAGATACAACATTAGGATTTCCAGAAAATGGCCAGCCATTTATTAGATATATTGTCTTTTCATAAAGCAAAGAAAAATTCTGTGATGACCTGAATTTTGAGATTTTAATTTAATTATTTTATGATTTTTAGACTGTCTAAATTAATTAATTAATTATTTATTTACTTATTTATTTATTAAAGTTAGTGGGTTTTGAAATTTGATTTAGTTTTGTTATATAATATATATATTGAGTCATAGAGATTTTGAAGTCCACACTCCACCGAACAAAAAAAAGAAGCTCTGGAAGGAAATTCTTCCAGCAAATAAGCAGCAGTCTCTTCCTTTCTTCTAGGGACGAAAGAACCTGACTTTGAATGCACCTGTATTAAGAGTTAAACTGGCTAAAAGGATGGGTCATAATTATTACGAGAACCTGCATGGCACAATGATCTTTTATATTTTTTTCCAGTAGTAATTATAGGTACCGTTGCACCTAATGTATGTATAGCAGTTCTAGAACCATCAATGATTGGTGAACCAGCAGATCCCTTTGCAATCCCCTTGGAAAATATTACCGGAATGGTATTTTCCTGCCAATCTAAACTCATCTATGATATGAGTACATGCTTAACAGTCATCACATTAGAAGTCAGTTCGTTTTACCTCAAAATAAAAGCTCTAATAAAAAGCTCAAACAGCTAAAGCGCGGTTCGGCTTGTTTACATACTACAACCCTAGCCCTAGCCCTAGCCCTAGTAAAAAGAGAGAGCAGTGGGAATGAGGAGGTGGAATGGAGTATGTAATTGAGGAAGCAAACAAATTTTACAAGGCTAGTTAGGGAGGTGTAAACTGGAAAACAATGAATAGACAAGAGCCTTGGAGACTTGACTAAAAACTGAATGCAGACACCATTAAAAGAAACAGAAATGGAAATCAACCTGAACATTGTAGTAGACTGCAGAATCCTGTACTTTTCTTTTGAATATTGGAAGTATCGAATATCCATAACTATTCTTGTCACATAAGCAACTATTATAGACAGAGGGAGACCACTTCCAAGTAGGGGAATACATCATGTAATCCCAGAAGCTCAAAAAACTCTTCCAAATTATAAGCTACAGAGGAAAACTCATCCCAGTAGCTAAAACCCTCACAGCAGCCCCAGCAGAAAAGGCAAGAAGCGAGAACTGATACTAGATGACTACATCCAGCTATATTACTTCCTGTGAGCTGCACATTTTTCCCAGCATCTCCCTGAAACTTCCGTATAGAATTACTTCTTCTTTTTTTGTTAGGTAAAGTACTCGCAAACACTTTTTGCTCACGCCCGGGGAGTTATACCATAAACTTACTTAGTAAACAGGTGCAAAGGCAAAAAAGGATAACAGTATCCAAAAGTAGCCTTACTGACGCAGCAACAGCATCTCAAGGCAATAATCAGTATATCCCTTATCCAACCTTGATTAGACAGCCAGACTATCCAGAAAATGTATTATGGCCTACAAGCAAGCACTTAGATTATCTGGTGATGATCAGGCAATTAACACTCTATTCAGTACAAATGCCACAATGATTAAATTAGTGTTTTTTAGACATCCTTTATTGAACTTAGAAGTTCTTCAACCACCAAAGTTCACTAATTATTTTCAGAACAAGGACTGAAGACAGATTCCTTCAGATGGAAAAACTATGTATCAGCTCAATAGGCTCTAAGAATTAGGCTACTTCGGATTTTTATTGGCTAGAGTAAAACCCTGACATTGGGTTTCTAAGAACTGGCCTACATTGGATTAAAATCTTTAAGATACATTTGGTTCTCTCTGTATTTTCCTATTAAGTCATATATGATATGAATACATGCCCAACAGCCATCACATTAGAAGTCGGTTCTTTTTACATTAAATTAAAAGCTCTGTTAGAAGATATAAGTTAATGGAACCAGAACTCAATTCTTTCTGTGGCACTTACAGCTTTATATTTCCCCAAACTTAATTCTTGCATAGTCAAATAAAATAGAATTAAGAAAAAAATATATATATGTATATATACCATCAGTACTTCTCCTCCCTTCTGGACCTGCTCAGATTAAATTCTACGCCTTTTTTTTCCAGCATACTGTTACAATTTCAAATCCGTGCATTGATGACTAACATGTTCCCTACAAGATCTCAAAGACCTCAAGTCCACAGCAAAAATGCACATTCCCTTTAACTTTGGACAATTGTTTTGCATTTTGCCTTGCCCAGTCGATTCAGTTTGATAACAATGAAGAGCACTGACAAGTGACTTATTAAATCAGTTCTCAACTTATAAATCAATCCTTAATGGTATCAGGAATATTACATTCTCTGGCCAACTATTTATTTGACATATTTGTTTTTCATAAAGAACAGAAAATTTCAGTCATAGAGATTGAAGTTCACGTGCACACACCAAAAAATGAAAATAAATAAATAAATAAACATGAACTGTAGCTAGCTATGAAACACACCTGAACTATGTAATAAGACTTTGAAACACCATTTATCAATAAGTAGCTTGAATTGAGTGATGTGAAGATGTGTGAGTTCACATATTTCAAGTCCAAGTAATAATGGAAATATTTGTTCACAAAAGAAAAGGAGATTTAAATAGACATCTTTTTTTTCCGCAGCTTATGCCCATTTCATGGGCTAGAGGCAATGATCCTGAGATTCTCAAGTCTGTTATATTTCATCCTTCGAAAGAAAAGGCAAGCACTACAAGCAGGAAAAAGAGCGGGACTAGGTGGATAGGACTCTCCCGTTTAGTCATAAATCTTATCTAGGATGCACCTACAGATCGATACTTCATTGCATGTCAGTTGATGATGATTACATCCTATTCAGTACAAATGATTAAATTACTGAAGTTCTTTAGACATCCTATATTAGAACTTAGAAGTTCTTCAACCACCAAAGTTCACTCATTGTTTTCAGAACAAGGACCGAACACAGGCTCGTTAATATGGAAAGACTATGTATCAGCTCAATAGGATCTCAAAAAGCCATTGAAGCTGCAAAACAACAGATGAAATTATTCTTCCTGTCGTTCATTTTTTACTTTTACATCTTTCAACACTCTGCAGCACTTGCAACTACATTGTTTAGCTTCCATGGAAGCTTGTCTAGCCAGTTAAATTTGCAACAGTAATTCTATTACCTCTTCAAAAGACACGTTTTGAGGCTCCCATGTCCTGCCGACCAAAGTAGAATCCTTGTACATAACATCATCCATTAAACTTGCCATGAGTACGAGGTATCACCTAATTGGCATCGGTACTATTGGATGTTCCAAGATAACAATCGCGTCCACTAATTTTAAGTGGATTTATATTTTATATGTAATCCTTAACAACTCAGATTACTTTTGCTGGACAAGAGTAAATCCCTGAAGCATCTTATAGTTCGCTCCTACTTGGGCATCTAAGAATTAGCCAACTTTTGGAAATAAAATAGAATAAAGGTTTTTGAACCAATGCAGTCAAATACAGCAAATCTTGATAGCTCCTCCACAACTACAAGGCTCTTACCAAGTTACCCAGCTGGCACAAATTCTTCCAACTAATATGCAGTCTCTTCTTCGGAATAGTTCACTTTCACTGCCAATCTAAATCTTAAAATTACATTGGGTTCCGTTTGTATTTTCCTATAAACTCATCAAATTGGAATGCATGCTCAGCAGTCATCAATGGAATTTAGAAGTCAGTTCGTTTTACCAAAAAATAAAAGCTCTGTTAGAACAGATATGAAAACAAAGCCAGAAGTCACTCTCTGTGCCCCTTGTAGCTTTAAATTTCCCCAAACTTCACTCTTGCAGAGTCACCAAAACAACTATCATCATCAGTACTTCCAACAATTGTCTCTCATTTTCATAACTTCCTTTCGCCTCCCTTCTCAGCTCAGTTTACATATTTCTATGCTTTTAATGTTACAATGTCAAATCCAACTCTCTTGACTCATGACTAATATGTTCCCTGAAGGATCTCACAAACCCCAACTCCACAGCAAAAATGCACATTCCCTTTCACTTTGGACATGTGTTAACGCAGTTTGAGTTGCCAAATTGATCCAGTTTGAGAACAGTGAAGAACACTGAGTAGTGACTACTAATAAATCAGTTCTCAAGTTTACTATGGGCCTGGTACAAGCTCCAAGATGATCGCCATAGCACAACTTAGTATCTAGCAACTATTTAACTTTCTTGCTAAAATTTGCAGAAACAATGCTTGTGCTCTTTTCAACTTGCCTCACCTCTTACAAATTTAATTACCTCCCTTTCTGCATCCCTATTAAGCCAAAGTGGCTTCTTGATCTTTTTCTTCCTCAGTTTTGATTAGCTCATTTACCTAGTTACCCTCTGATTTGCAGCTTTAAATTTTCTAAAACACTTTTAACATAATTTGTTCACACAACAAACTAAAATATTATTTAATATGATGGCATAGATTAACCAATCACCTGGAATACCAAACCACCATCATTGCATAATCTTTCAATATTTTAAAAGGACATAGCCCATTGTATGTTCCGACCTACACAGGGTGCTGGGAGGGGTTAATGCTTCAAAATAGTGCAGGAAATAATTTAATTGCATGATTTAAGATTCAGAATCAAAGATTTCAAACATACAATCTCAAACAATGCACACAAAATCCTTAATCAAAAACCATTCAGTGAACTAAGCTACAAGATAGTTGTCAGCATGATCTAAGGTTAGAACTTACAACACAAAAATCAAAAACATTTTATCTATGTCACAAAGAACCTCCACAGTAATATCAGTAAAAACCTGTGTTAGCAATTCCATTTGTGCTCAGTGTATGCTTCTCCAAGCGTTAGATCACACTGGCAGCTTGGGACAGCTAAATCAGTTAGAAGATCACCTCCATCAAGCAGGATTAGGCAGCAGAACAAACCAATCTTCCAGTGAAAAGAATACTCAACAAGACATTCATCCGGCTTCCAAAGCTCTATCCACGAAGTGATCGTTTCCAAAGCTTTATCCACAAAGTGATCGTCTTGGTCAGTAAAAACCTAAAATCCTATATCCTAGTGGCCAAAATATGTCATTCTTCAATATCTTCGAAAAAGGAATTTGGTATTTCAGCAGGAGAAGACAACGTCGACACACATTTGAACTGTTTCAAGTAAGTCAGAAATTGCAATCAGATAACCATCCCCAGAATGTCTTTGAAATAAACACAACACATTTGATAAAATGTACCTTATGTTGCTTATATTTCTCTCTCACAGCCACCAAAGATCCTCCTCGTCTACTCAATTGCAAGTCATGTAATATAAGAACACATTCCTTTAAATCTGCTGGTTTATAACCCGAGTATTGTTGTAGGGCCAAACTCTGTAAGATGTGTAACACTTAATTTACCATTTTCCACACATAAGTGAATCAAAACTAAGGACGTATATAAGGCACATACCCAGGGATGAAACTTCGATTGGATTGTGAATCTCGAAAGAAATATAACAGATGCAGCCACCAAAGAAGGTGGGAATTTCAAACAGCCATATTCCAGCAAACTTAGCTCTGCTAGGTAGTACCCTATAAACTCCAACTGCAAATTAGGAGTCTGCAAAAGTTCCAAGAAAAAAATTAAAGTTAGTGACAAAACCCTCATTCATTTTCATATGGCATGGCAAAAATAGACATACTACACTAGTTGTAAGAGAGATCAAGAGAATTAAAGCTTACCCCATAATCTTCTTGAGCCACACTGTTGAATCTTCTGTAAAAAACAAAAGGGAAAGTACAATTAACTTTAGTCTAATGAAATTGTCCACACACACACACACATAGATCCAGGAAAACCAACAACAAAGAGTCAATAGAGTAAGCTGCCAGTATTCTTATACCTGAGAAATGTCTTAATTGTGGGATTCCCCATTTCAAACTTGAGGGATTTGAGTATATCAGCTTCCATCTTCACCACCTCTTCTTTGGTGTATGTATTATCCGTAATGTAACAGAAATCTTCCACATGTGGAGGACTGATCTCCTCATACTTTCTGCTTATCACAACATGAAAACAAGAAAATTATAAATAAAAATCAAACCCAAATTGATCTTCAAAATCAAAATAGCATATACTTGTAAGAGATCTGGGTACTTGGTTCTTAAGCCACTTACGATGCTATGAGCATTGAAGAAACACCCAGCAATTGAAGCCTTTGCCTATTGAGAACTTTCATTGACAAGAATCGATCGATGTAAGAGATAGTTAGATACAGACTATCAGAGAGAAGATTGTACTCCTCTGCAACCTCCACCAACCAATCCACCAGTATCCCCCTCATGTTAGAAGTAACATCTTTCTGAACTTTTTCAATGTAATCTGGAGATGGCCTTCTCTTCGCCTCCATCTGAATAATTCAATCAAAACCCAAAAAACCCTAATTTCAATACCCATTATCAAATCAAACCAAAAACCCACAAAGTTTACAATTTTACAACAACTGATAAATCAAAGTCAAATCATTTTCAATATCAAGATGAACAAAGAACAGAGATCAAGTTACCTCCATATTATGAAGATACTCATATATCTCAGAGATATAAGCATCACACATTTGGGGATCAATAAATTCGGCATCAATGTTATGCTCACTCGATGTCTCCACAATCTCCTTCTTCACATTCTTCTTCGACCTACATTTCTGCTTTTTAGGCTCAGAACCCAGATTCCGATTCCCCGTGAAATTGAACGAATTGGGTAGCTCACCCAACACCGCCCTCTTCTTGGTAGCAGGCTGTTGCTTAGGCTCGGCCAATCCCATTGCCTCTGCTGCCCTCTTCTTCGCCAAGCGCGTGACACGCACACAGTTCTCCTTGTCCGCCATTGTCGTCTCTCTCCCCCTCTGCTTCAGATAACAAATCTTATATATTCCGAATCTGGAGTGGACGAACAGAGAGAGAGAGAGGAATGTGGAGTGAGTGACTGACCAGAGGGAGAGCTTTGTAGTTTGTGCTGATAGAAAGAGAGAGTGTGTGCAGAGGCGCCATGATAGCTTAATATTCAAAGATTTGGCGCTTTTGTTATTACATTCAAACGTTTTTGGGATTTCGACTTTTTCGTTTGGGTTTGAGTTTTGGTTGGCTCGTGTGGTTCCAAAAAAAACCAAAGTTTTGATTTGAAATTTAAGTTGATTTGAAATTTGAGGGGTTCGACCAAATCACTCCCGGTTAATTTTAGGAGTCTCGCGTCATATGTACAAAATTGCCCCCTTAGTTATAAAATTATTAGTTTCACACCCACGTCAAAAATATCAAACTCGCACCACAAAAATACCACCCTATATATAAATAATAAATATCCACCTCTCTCTACAACAACAATAATCAAGTTTTACTTTTCAAAAAAAAAAAAAACCAATAATCAAGTTTTTTTTCTAATTATTTGGGGTCAATAACATTAATCATAGGCTTATATTTTGCTCTCTTTAGGGTGTGTTTGGTAAGGTTAATTTGGAGGGATAGAGAGAGAAAAGAAAAGAGAGGACAGTGTAAGAGTGTGTTTGGGTAACTGAATTGGAGAGAAAAGAGAAGATAGGGAGGGATAGTTGAGATTTCTCTCCCAATTTGAGAAGATAGGGAGAGAAAGAATAATGGTTTAAGTTATAAATTATGGGTTACCAAAAATACCCTTTACAAATCAACATACTCAAAAGTAATTTCATTTATGTCCCAACTCTCTCTAAAATAGCAATTAAGAAGCCACTGTAATTCAGCCAATTAAAGTTTGACCTCGCAACAAATTCACAAAAAGATACAAGATTTTATTGGTGATCATCTCACAGAGTTCCATCAGCATTTTTTTAGGGGCGGAAATTGAATCCAACAGAAAAAAGATTATACAATATGTACACAGATATGTACATGATCCCGTTAATAGCATATAATTTTAAGATGGCAGTACCAAATTCACAAACTTTAAATAGGATGCTCCATGCCATCTAGTGAAACTTGCAAACTCATGCAGCATTAATGGAAAAAAATAGAGTAAAATATTCACCATATCAGGTTTGCATGCAATGGTTGTGTTGTTATACCTGCTACTTGAGTGGCATTCTTTCAATCTTAAGATCTGGACTCTAAAGCAACCTGTAAACATGTTCTTAGCCACTTTAAGTAGTCAGATTTTGATAATTGATTGAGTTTTTGAATCTGACTGAATTAGGAAGATTTTGGAAATGGATAATGTATAAAGTGGTTATGAAAGGGCAGGACAGTAATTTGGTCACTATCCTTTCTTTTCTTTTCTCTTCTCTATCTTATCCAAAGAAGAATAACTATCTTTTCTTTTCTTTTCTCCCTCATCTATCCAAACACGAATAAAAATTATTACTCTCCTTTCTTTTCTTCTCTTTTCTCTCCTAACTAATACTATCATTTTTTTTCTTTTCTCCCCTATTTATCCAAACAAACCCAATGTCATAGCCTCAATCTACTTACTATCATTTTTTATTTTTTATTTTACTAGCTCTAACCACGTTAACTTTGATGTTCATCTTTCACTAATATTACCCTCAATGTAGATTGTAACGTTTCATATTTTTTTTCAGATTTTTTTATTTTTATTATTTTTTACTCTTCCAATTTACGCGCCTTACGAGTCCAGTATTTTCCTCCTTATTGTTCCATCGACCCATTTATTTTCCCTTGGTAATTTTATTTATGTGGTAGTTATGTGCATAGTTATATATATGTAGGTGTTAGTGTGGTTGAGTGGGAGAAGATATTTGTTTGTGATGTGGTTGTGGTTATAAAGAAGTTTGAAGGGCATTTTAGTCATTGAAGGGTTGCTTTGACTTGGACTTGGGAAGGTGCTAGAAGTGGGTAGCTAGGCTTCATTTAGCACCACTTATTTCTCTCCCCTCATTTTCGGATTCCTCTCTTTTTATACACTTCTCATTCTCTCTCTATATTTCTCTTTGCCTTCTTTCTAGAATTTCTTCATGGTAGAGAAAGATTTGGTTTAAGCCGGAGTTAGCAAAGTTGTACATCGTTGCAAAGGCTTTGATTTGGTACCGATGTTGCAAGCTTTTGGTGAGATTCGAGTTTGGAACTTGGAGCTTTGGGTTGCTATCTTGAGGTAGGAGAAGTTTAAACTACAAGTCCTATGGTTTTAGTGAGTTTTTAAGTATTTTTTTTACATGGAATCTTGATGGTGTGAAGCATGCTTAGTTTGGTAAATTGTTGGTTATGATGTTAAGCATGAGATAATGTCGATTTATTATTTGCTTTTGGGTTAAGAATATGATGGTTTCATCTACTTGTACCAAGCATACTATTTTTCTATGATGAAATGTGAAAGTATAACTTGTATGGTTGATTTCATGTTTTGGATATTATAATGTGATGATTATAATGTATATCATGGATATTATGTTAATGAATGGTTGTATGACATGCATATTCTTGGCATGGGGTGAGTTGAGGGATGAAGGTTTGATGTGGAAAAGAAGGTTAAGAAGTAAGACGATGGTTTATGTTGTGATTTGAGGTGATGGTTATGAAGGTTGTAGTGAGATTTGGGTTGGAAAGGAAGAAAAGGGTATTTACATTTCATGTGTGTTGAAATGGTTGTGAATTCATGATATTCATGTATGATGATATTGGTGATATTCCTATGATCCCTCTTTATTATTCTCCTATTCTTTGGTTGTGGCTCACGGGATTTTTAGGAATGTATTTTAGGTTTACTCTACTGAGCTATTGAGCTCACCCTATTATTATTAACATTTTTCAGGATTTTGAAGATGATTCGGTGAAAAATGTGCATTTATGGACATTGACATAGTTATGATTTCATTCTTGTTTAAAATTATTTAATTATGGCCATTGTGGCCTCATCCTTTGTATTTAATTCTTTAAAAGTTGTATAAAATGAGATTTTTATGATTTGATCTTCAATTAATATATAAACAGCTTGATTAATGGATGTATATATGATTAATCTTGCATATTTCGATGTTTATGGATTTATATTTTCATGATCTCTGAGTTTAGGATGCATATGGATGGGTTGGGAAGTGATCTATTCAATCACATTGACTTTGGATCAGATATGGGATTTATATGTACGCACAGATGGGCATTTGTGCGTACAGATGCACTAATCTGTGCGGATAGATACTCTTATCTGTGTGCACAGATGGTCATATGTGCGTACAAATCCCTCATGTGTGCGCATAGATAGTCCCTCAGCTTTGCAATTATACTGGAATGACCATCTAAATGATATAATGGACTAAAGGTGCGCACAGATGGTCATCTGTGCGTATAGATCCACCAAGTGTGCACATAAATGGTCCATAATTCACTGTTTGACCCCAAATTTTGGTATAATTATATAATTACCCCCAAACTTTAACTAAAGCATAGAATAGACATAGAAAATGACAGTTTTACCCCTGATGAGTTGTGAAGCCATAATAAGTATACTAAATGACTATTTTACCCTTTTGGATCCTAAACCATTAATTGACCACAGCAAAGGACAATTTTACCCTTATGGTCTCTAGATCCACTGTAACGATGTGAAATGACCATGTTGTCCTTGTATTTTATTTTAATCATTGGATGACCTTAGTAAATGATCATTTTATTCTCGATGGGTCTTAATGATCCACTGTAACCATAGTACCCTTGTGTGTCCTCGGGTTTGGGTGAGGACCCGGTTAACGATTCGAAACCCCATATTTTGGTCGATACATAAACTGTGTCACTTTTTCTAACTGAGGAACTTAAGGGCTGTTCACTAATGCTTTTACTTTTTAATTTTTACTTTCTCCAAAAGTAAATTAATGATTTTGATTTCTTAAGCTGAAATAGAAAGTGAAATTATGTTTAGTAATATATCATATTCATAAAATTTTGAAAGCAAAATAACAAAATCAAGTTTAATAATTATGATTTTGCTTTTGTTTTTTACCATTACTACGCAACTTGGTTTTTTTTTTTTTTTGCCTACATACCTAGTTATATTATCTACCAATCCCACCATCCCCCAGTTCAGGTTCGCATCCACCAACCCCCATTTCTACCTAACCAAAAGCACTACCAAAAACCACCACCACCTCCCATCATAGCTTTCAAACATCAATAATGTCACCACAAACCTCTTTCCAACACAAAATTAAATGTCTTTCAGAACCAAGATGTTCACCACCATCCCCCTATTCCCACTACAATTGCAATTGCTCCAATCACAGTGTAAAAAAAAAAAAAAAAAAAAAAAAAAAAAAAAAACTGCCATCCCACCACCGTGAAGACTTCTTGGGGTTGTTGTGAGCTCTCTTCTTCGTCGCTAATAACAATGTTGGAAATAAGTAGTACATGTTGCCTCTATTGAGCTACGACTCCGACGTCCTCTCCGTTGTTGGTCACCACTTGCCATTGGCCGATTCCAAGCTTTGTAGTGGTGTGAGACAAGGTTATGAGATGATGGGTCAACAGTAGAAGGAGGAAGAGGTTTTAGTCTTCAATGGATGATTGGCGGCTTTTGGTAGCAGTTTGTGGTGGTAGAGAAAAGAAGAGAGTGGAGTTGGTGTCCCCTCTGTCGCGAGTCACCGCTCGCTGGTCACTGATCACCTAATTCCAAACTTGAAATGGTTGTGGCGTTGGTCTTGGTGATATGAAAGGATGATGGGTTAGAGGAAGAAATAGGGTTTCTATACTACTAATGGGGAGTACTGTAATTTTGGTGGGATAAGTAATGCTACAGTAAATAAAGTAATTTTTGTCTACAGTGGAGAAAGTAAAGAAAGTATCAAATTGTCACTTTCCCTTTTCTTCATTAAAAGAGGAAGTACTTTCTTGAAGTTGAAAAGTGAAATTACTTTATTAAACATAATTTCTACTTTTGATTCCTTATTTTAGGAATTGACAGTGAAACATGAATTAATTCTTATTAGTGAATGTGCCCTAAATGTTTTTTTGGCATATGTCCAAACCATCTTAACCGATTTTCTCTCATTTTATCTCCAATTGGTGCTACCCCAACCGTGAAAATTACATTTTGCCTTATCCCCTATTTCGACTATTTTTTATCATTTGAGCTTCATAAAGTCCATCAATAAATTCAATTAAGGAGTT